CGTTCTTAGAAACGTAGAGATTCGGTACTCCATGGTTGAAAATTTTTGTCTTGCCCTCTACATGGCTGTTAAGAACTTGAAACCATACTTCTTGGCACATCCGGTTATGGTCTACACTGACCAACCAATCAAGCAGCCAATGACAACCCTGGAGTCTTCTGGTCGAATGCTCAAATGGGCTTACGGTTAAAGTTCTTGAGGGTTCAAGTCCTGAGGGGGACAAATATGAATATGCACTACGGTTCAAGTTCCAGGCCTCAAATAATGAGGCCGAGTGTGAAGACCTATTAGCCGGCATTCAGATGTGCAAGGCGGTAGGGGCAATAAGAATTGACGCCTACTCTGACTCTGAATTGGTTGTAAGCCAATACAATGGTGTCTTTGAAGCCACCGATCCGGTTATGATCAAATATTTGCAGGCGGTCAAGGCTGAAGCTGGGACATTTGAAGGCTTTAAGTTAAGTCAAGTGCTCAGATCAAAGAATAATCAAACGGATGCTCTGTTCAAATTGGCCTCATCTGCCTCCTATGAAACGCCTCGGTCAGTCTTCTGGGAAGTCATGGAAAAGAGAAGTATATCTGATGAAGACCCTATTGGAGTACTTGACCAAAGCTCCACCTGGATGGATAACATCCGGGCGTATTTGACAGACGGCACCCTCTCGGATTTACCCTAGGAGGCGGCCGTGCTGAAAAAACGTGCTGCAAACTTTGAGATAAGGTAAGGAGAGCTCTTCAAAGAAGGTTTCATGAAGCCTCTTCTAAAGTGTGTGACCCTAGAAAAGGGGCAGGAAATCCTCGAAGAATTGCATGCGGGATACTGTACATCTCATGTAGGCGGCATATCCTTAGCTGTCAGGGCCAGGTGGCATTACTTCTGGCCTACCCTAGAGTCGGACGCTATGGAGATGGTTAGAAAATGTGACAAGTGTCAAAGGTTTGGCAAGCTAATCCATTGTCCGGCCACTGACCTGACGGCCATCCACAGTCCTGTGCCGTTTGCTAAATGGGGAATGGACATTCTGGGTCCATATACGACTGCTCCAAGCGGCAAGCGCTACATCTTAATGGCTGTGGATTACTTTACCAAATAGGTAGAGGCAGAGGCGGTCAAAAACATCAAGACAAAGGACGTGATTTCCTTCATCTGGTAGAATATCATCACTCGTTTCGGGGTGCCTATGTCTATGGTTTTTGACAATGGTCCTCAGTTTGAGACCCTTCACTTGAAGACTTGGTTAGGAGATCAAGGGATCTCCAATTACTTTGCATTAGTCGGCCGACCCCAAGCAAACGGCCAAGTTGAAGCCTTTAACAAATTAATCTCAGACGACATTAAAAAGAAAGTTGAAAGAGTTGGCGGCCTATAAGCGGATGAATTACCACGCGTCCTGTGGGCCATCAGAACAACCGCAAAAAGGGCGACTGGAGAGACCCCATTCCTCATGGCATATGAGGCAGAAGTTGTTTTGCCTATTGAACACTATGACCCGACTCTTCGGATTATGCTATATGATGAAGAGGCAAACTGGGAGGCCATGCGCGTGGCATTGGATTCATTCCCAGAGTGCAAGGACAATGCTGCCTTGCGTCATAAAATCTACCGTCTGAGAATGACTTGGGCGTACAACAAAAGAGTACACAAGCGCCCTTTAAAAGTTGGGGACTTTGTGTTACGAAAGATGGAGGCAGTCGGTAGGGCGAATGAACGAGGGAAGCTAACCCCAAATTGGGAAGGCCCCTACCGAATCTATGAAGAAGTAAGAGGCGGCACCTACCGCCTGGAAACACTAGACGGTAGGAGGTTGCCCCGAACCTGGAATGTAGATAATCTAAAGAAGTATTACATTTGAAATTTTGAAAAGTTTTGACTTGTTAATGAAATTTTGCCTTCATTTTCATACTTGTCTTTATTTTCTTTATTTTGAGCACCGGCTGCACACAGTGTAGAAGAACCGGTTTATAAAAATGAAGGATGCCTCCTGTACTGGTGAATCCTACTTACCCATTATGGTACCGCCTGCACAATTTGCGGACGGCCAACACCGAAACTCAGCGAGCAACGCCAGCCCAATGAGCAGACGGCTAAGCACATTGTTAATCTAAATATAATTTCGGGATCGTTTGCTCCAACAGCAGACGCCCAAAAGATAATCCGACTGCACTAAAGCAGTCGGCCTTAAACTTATGCCTACGCTAAGTTAATAACTTAGCAGCTAACGACTAAGTGACAAAGAGGCCAGTGGCCGGATGAAAAACTAAGTTAATAATTTAGTCATCTTTTGTTCTAAGCTAAGTCAATGACTTAGTGGCTATTCAATTCTTTAATCGAGGCCGTTGACCGAATGAATATTATTTAAAACTACCGTCTGCTCCAACATGAGTACACGACTGTAGACACCTAAAAATGTCTCCCCAAAACCAAACCCGTTGATGAACACCTTTCACCGCAATTATTGGTCGAGTTGAGTATTTAATATTTGGAGTGATTAAATCCATGTTCTATCCAATATATTTCAAGAACCAATCCAATTTCTAGCTCATTTCCCTAAACCATAACCTGTTTTCCACTTTTCGTGTCCACATCGCAAAACTGAGAGAAACTGATTTTATGGCTATAAAATTTTGATCCAATTATTATTTTGTTGTATAGGCCTTTAAATAATATTTCCAACCATATATCATAAGCCCAATTCCGAGCTATAATGAAAAAGATATGAGCAAAACACTAAACTCGGCCTAAAACCGACACCCTTCCACTAAAACGACCATATCATAAAATCTAAATATGATTTTGACTTGATTTTTATTGGGTTGGAAATTAGACTTGATAATATTTCCAATGATATATTATATGCCTTATTCCGAGTTACGGATCAAAAGTTATGATTATTTTAAAAAGGGTAAAAAAACTGAAATTACCGCGCAACAGCAAAAATGCCGCGACGCGACAAAAGCTGACGTGTCACGGGACTTATTCTCGTGACACGGTGCCCATTTTTGTAATTCTGCACAATTTTCTCACGTGTCACGGGATTTTGCACCGTGTCATGGTGCAATTTCCCGTGTCACGGTGCCCATTCCGTGACACGGGGATATTCCGTGTAATTTCCGCGTACTTTTTACACCGTGACACGGCATACTGCACTGTGCCACGGTGGACAATGCCTTGTCACAACATTTCTTCCCGTGTCACGGTGCACATCCTGTGCCACGGGATTTCTCCGTGTTTTCTGTGCGTTATCCCTAAACGCGTTTTCACTTCCCGTAACCTAATTATTTTCCGCGTCACTCAGTTTTTCCACTTGTCATGGGATCTTCCCCCGTCTGACGGTGCCTGCCACCGTGTCACAGTGCTCTTTGTCGTGACACGGTATTATTTTTTAGGGTTCCGCGTGTTCCCTCTGCTCATTTTCCCTATAAATAGAACCCCCCTTTCTGCAGTTCGGGGCACCAATAATCATTCTCTCTTACCTTACACCAAAAAACATTCTCTTCTCCCTCTTTTACCTAATTTCTAGCCTCCTTATTCTTTCATAACAATTCCCTGAAGCACTCCAAGGAGTCTATACTTAACCCGAGGTTTCGTCCTTAAACCAAGGCGTGAAAGGTACAAATAACTGAGGGTTTGGACCAAATCAACTCTACTTTTTATTTAATTTAATTTTCATTTACTTTAAATTTTTTTTATTGAAGTTACTAACAGTTTATTCATGATGTAGCAATTTAAAGGAACGTGCTGAATGTAAGTAATTAATTAAATTAATTACTCTTATTTTATTTTATATTGCTAGTTGTTATGGGTAAAAATATGCAAGACTAAGTCATCGACAGTCAACGAAGGTCAATGACGAAGACTTCCCTCGATGAAGCCTGAAGCATCGACAGAAGACCAATTCAATTAACAGCCTCCTATTTCTTAGGGAAGATAAGCTCAGACTTAGTCCAACTTCATCCACTCAAGTCTGTTGGAATTCAAAACAGAAGAGAAGTAACCTCCGCAGCTAACGCCCTAAATCATGGGGCACGATATTATTATCTCCTTGCAACGGCTAGGATGTGACCTAGAAAATCTTCTATATAAGAGTCATAGTAGCAACGAGTACAACCATCATCTCATAACCTTGTAAACCGATATTACTTTTTGCATAGTGAAAGTTTGGTAGATCCTCATTCTACCCGCGGTTTTTACCTTCTTTGGGTTTTCCGCGTCACCAATTCCTTGTGTCGTTTATTCTCTTTTTACTTTTCGCCTTACATTTTAATTTTGCTTAGTTGATCCGTAGCCTAGATTTTGATATTCAATCCCACTTAGCATAAATTAGCATAAACAATTTGGCGCCCACCGTGGGGCTACAACTAGGTAAAATCTAAAAATTTCTCGCCAAACCTTCAACATGTCAGCCGACAAAATGACCCCAGAACAGCTAAAAGCTGCCTATGAGAAAGTTCAAGCCGACTCAAAGCAGCTAGGGAATCTAATGAGCGTCTTAGCAAGGAAAAAAAAGCGTCAGACTCCGATGCAGCCGCTCTCCGCCAGCAATTGGAATCCGCCCAAAGCAATCGTCGTCGCCGGCCAAGGCATCTAGGCCTGATTCCTAGAATGCCGTCGCTGGATATCATTGAGTCCCCCCATGATACTGATAATGAATCCAGTGACGAAGAAATGAACGTGGACCCCCCGTTAGGAATGCTGGCAAGGAACCATTCAGACTTTAGGCGACGATCAAGGTAGCCCGCAGCCCGATTAGACGGAAATCTTACTCCAGAGGCTGGTTGCCTTAGAAAAGCAGAACTCTAAGGTCTTTTCAATGATGAAAAAGATGCCCGTCGTGCCGATCCCCGTCCAACGAGAAGCTCCAGATGGATTCGCAGCTACCCCTTTCTGCGACGAGTTGGCCCTGGCCCGGATTCCCTGAAGATTGTCGCTCCCAACGTTTACATCGCTATATGACGGAACGACCTGTCCAGAGCAGCATGTCGAGTACTACAAGCAGATAATGTGGCAAGCTTCGATCCCGTTCAAGTGCTGGGAAGCATGCATGTGCAAGTCATTTGGTGCGACGCTGACATGCCCTGCCCTCAAGTGGCTCGGCAAACTTGAACCAGGTAGTATAACTAGTTTTTCTATGTTAGTTAACAAATTCTATTCCCATTTTGAAAGTAGCAGGCAGTTTGACAAGCAGACGAGCGATCTGTATCGAATAGTCCAGGGTCCTAAGGAGACCATCAGAGCTTATTGGTCTCGGTTCAACAAAGAAAACGTCTCAATCAAGAATGTTGACAATAGGACTGCCATTGAAGCCTTCCTTCGCGGACTGCATACGGACTCGGATTTGTATAAAGATATGGTCAAATATCCATGCTCAACGTTCGAAGAAGTCCAGACCAGAGCCGTGGCTCAAATGCGCTTCGACGACAAGCCAAAATCAGAGAAAGATATGAGCAAATGGTGCGAGTTCCATAGCGATCATGGCCATAAGACAGAAGACTGCTATGCCTTGCGAAGAGAAGTTGCCTTCCAGCTGAAGAGAGGCAACCTCAAGCATCTATTAGGGAAGAAGAAAAGCAATGACGCAGGTCGCCGCGAGCCCAAAAAGACGACGACAGCTGGACCTCCCAAGCCCCCTGTACCTAAGGTAATAGTTAATGTTATCACTGGTGGTTCCGATATTTGTGGACTAACCTACTATGCAGCAAAAAGGATCGCAAAGTCGATGATAGAAAATGCAGATGTCCCGGACGAGATTAGAGACCCCCTGGAAAAGAAGCTAGAAGCGATGTCGATTACTTTCGATGACGACGACGTCAATAAGATCAACAGAGAGCATGAAGACTCTTTGGTAATTTCTTTGATCGTCAGGAATTGTCTGCTTTGAAGGGTGTTGGTTGACGGAGGAAGCTCCGCAAGTGTCCTGTTCAGAAGGGCCATGGAAGATATGGGATTAAAAGATAGCGACATCACCAGAAGGTCAACGACTCTGGTCGGTTTCAGTGGAGAAAGCATGTCAACTCTCGGAGACATAACCCTTCCAACTTATGCAGGAGGCCTAAACCCTCAAACCAAATTCAACATCGTCGACTGCCCATCAGCCTATAATGCCATATTAGGACGACCCTGGATCCACCGATTGAAAGCCATTCCTTCCACCTACCACCAATCAATCAAATTTCCCACCCCGTGGGGAGTCCAAGAAATTAAAGGGGAACCCCGTGAAGCCAAACACTGCTACAAAACAACCCTTAAACCAACCATGAGAACCGCATAGCAATTACAGCATGGCCCGACACCAGATAATCCCAACGACCTCGAAATCGACGAAATACCCTTAGACCTTGAAAAACCTGATCAAACCGTTCGTGTCGGTGCCAACCTAGCACTTGAACTCAAAGACAGCATATTAGCCTTTCTTCGAGAGAACAAAGACTATTTCGCCTGGTTGCATAAGGACATGACTGGTATAGACCGGAGCATCATCTCGCATAAGCTGAACGTCGACCCAAATCATAAGCCCGTTAAGCAGAAGCGTCGGAAGTTTGCTCCGGAAAGGAATAAAATCATCAACGACGAAGTGCAGCAGCTGATCGACACAAGAAAAATAAGAGAAGTCAAGTATCCAGATTGGCTCGCATATGTTGTCGTCGTCAGCAAAAAGAATGGCAAGTGGAGAGTGTGCATCGATTTCAACTATCTCAATAAAGCATGCCCTAAGGATCCGTTCCCGCTCCCGCACATCGAGGCCATGGTAGATGCAACGGCAGGTCACGAGCTCTTAACATTCATGGACGCCTACTCTGGATACAACCAGATCCTAATGCATCCCGACGATCAGGAGAAGACGACCTTCATGACCGACAAAGGTATATATTGTTATGCCATTTGGACTAAAAAATGCAGGTTCGATGTACCAAAGACTCGTCAACAAGATGTTCAAGGACTAGTAGGAGAGACGTTGGAGGTATACATCGATGATATGCTGGTGAAATCTAAGAAGTCAAAGGACCACGTCGATCACCTCAGACAGACCTTTGAGGTATTGCGAAAATATGGTATGAAACTTAACCCTAAATGTTCATTTGGAGTATCCGCTGGAAAATTTTTGGGCTATGTAGTAACACAAAGGGGAATTAAAGCTAGCCCTAACCAAGTCAGAACTCTAATAAATATTCAATCTCCCCGAAATGTTAAAGAAACCCAAAAATTGAAAGGACGAGTGGCAGCATTAAATCGCTTCATCTCCCGATCGTCAGACAAATGTCATTTATTTTACAAAGTATTAAGAAAAAATAAAGGTTTTGAATGGACTGACGATCATGAGAAAGCTCTGCAAGATTTGAAAAAATACTGAATGACACCACCCCTCCTGTCGAAACCCAAAACTAATGAGCCTTTGCAGCTTTATATTGCCGTCAGTGATGTAGCCGTCATCGCAGTCCTGACAAGAGAAGACTACGAAGCTGGGCAGCTTCCGGTTTACTATGTAAGTAAAACCTTGCTCCCAGCCGAGGTAAGATACACTTCCTTAGAAAAGTTAGCCCTCGCTTTAATCACTGCTGTTAAAAAGCTAAGGCATTATTTTGAAACCCACCACGTAGTGGTGATGACTAATTATCCGCTTAAGTCAGTCTTAAGAAAACCAGACCTGACAGGGTGTTTGGGTAAGTGAAGCATCTCGTTGATCACGATGGACATCGAATACCAACCCAGAAAAGCAATTAAATCCCAAGCTCTCGCAGATTTTGTGGCTGACTTCAGCCCCGACATACAGGTTATAGCCGACAAAGAGCTGGAAGAAATAAATAACATCCAGAGCAAAAGTAAATGGATCCTGTTCGTCGACGGCTCATCCAACCAACGAGGAGCAGGCCTGGGAATGGTGCTAAAGTCGCCACAAGGGAACATGATAGTAAGGTATGTATCTTGTGATTTTAAAGCAACTAACAATGAAGCAGAATATGAAGCTTTGATTGCAGGAATGACCGTTGCTAAAGACTCAGGCGCAACAACCTTGGATGTGTACAGCGACTCCCTCCTCGTCGTCAGCTAAATAACAGGTGCTTCGCAGCAAAAGACTCCAAAATGTCAGCGTACCTCGACATAGCCAAAGAAAAATCCAAACATTTTGATCCTTTTACCATCTCTCAAATCCCAAGAGACCAAAACGCCCAAGCCGACGCATTAGCAAACCTAGCCTCCGCCCTCAAAAAGACCACCTTCACAAATATCCCCTTAGTCCATTTACAAAAACGGTCCGTATCCTTTAAGGAAATCCTTCCAGTCGACGACGTTAACAACGACGACGACTGGACCAAACCTATCATAGACTACTTGACCAAAGATATCTTACCCAGTGACAAATCAGAATCACGAAAACTAAAATACAAAGCCTCCCGATACCACATCATTGACGGAGTCCTATTCCACAAATCAGCATCGGGGTTATCCCAAAGATGCATCCAAAAGCATGAACAACAGTCCGTCCTTATCCACTTGCATGATGGAATATGCAGCAGTCATGTCGGAGGGAGAAGACTAGCCAAAATTGCAAAACGACAAGGATATTTTTGGCCAACGCTTCATGAAGACGCAACACAATATGTGACCAAATGCGACAGCTGTCAGCGATTCGCCAACACCGTCCATAAGCCGTCGGAGCCTCTCCACCAGACATTATCTCCATGGCCCTTCATGAGGTGGGGATTGGACATCGTCGAGAAGCTACCCGCGGCACCAGGACAAAGAGTATATATGTTAGCACTAACCGACTATTTTTCTAAATGGATTGAAGCGATTGCTTTGAAACAGGTGACAGACAAGGAAGTCATTACATTCATATGGACTAACATTATATGCAGGTTTGGAATTCCGTCGGTGATCGTCTGTGACAATGGGTCACAGTTTATTAGCGACAAAACTCGTTCTTTTTTGCAGAAATTCCGCATAGAATTGAGGACGTCGACACCAAGATACCCACAAGCCAATGGACAAGTTGAGTCCAACAACAAGGTCGTCATGGAAGCCATTAATAAAAGGCTAAAAGCAGCAAAAGGCAAGTGGGTTGACGAGCTCCCATCAGTCCTATGGGCCAACCGGACGACGCCGAGAGAAGTGACGGGGCAGACGCCCTTCTCTCTTGTCTATGGGTGCGAAGCCGTTCTTCAAGTCGAGGCTGACTTCCCAACGTCAAGGTTTGGTCTCATGGCAGAGGAGAGAAATCAAGAGGAAATGGAAGATAATTTAGATGCAGTTGAAGAACTAAGAGAAATAGCGTTAATCAGAATGGCAGCGCAACAACAAATCGTCGCTAAAAGCTTCAACAAAAACGTCAAAGCCAAAACGTTTCAATTAGGAGACTGGGTACTAAGGAAAGCATTCCAGAATACAAAGAATCCGGCCGACGGAAAGCTCGCCCCCCCATGGGAAGGACCATATGAAATTACCCAAGTCATCGGCAGCGGTGCATATCGATTAACCGACCAGCAAGGTAACCCCTTTCCACGAAGTTGGAACGCAACCCATCTCAGAAAATACTACTTTTAAACAGACAGTCGAAAGCGTTCGTCGACAAAACGGTAATGTTCTAAATAAAACACTCTGCTTACTTCATTCATTCAAAGTTTTTATTTATGACTAAGTGTACTGACTTAAGCATCGGAGGGCAACCGTTACTTTAACCACGTTTGTTTTGCAGTACAAACAACCGACGAGACATTCCACTAAGGAAACAAACGACGACGGACGTTAGCTACACTATCATCCTTCAAAAAGTAGATAAGCAAGGCTCGAACCGCGTATCTACAAAACGTAGTATCACCATACTTACCACTAAGCCACAACAATAAACTTAGTATCACCATACTTACCACTAAGCCACAACAAAAGCGAGCAAAGCCAACGTACAATCGACAATCGAAAGCACGACGAAGCCCGGGGCAACACTTGACCTTAGCGTCTGACGCCAAACACCCGACACCTGAGCCACGAACTAGTCTTCAGGGTTCAGCGTCGACGCTGGGACGCAAGGGGCATTGGCAAACAAGGCAACGATAGGCCTAAAATCACAAAGTCTTCAACGAGGCATACTGTGTAGCTACACATCTGTATTTAAGAACGTCAATTATTAATTAGACATGTTGTCTTAAAAAGTTAATAAAAAGTTTTTCGAAGTCTTTTTTAATCTTACTTGCTGACTTCTCATTTTTAGAAAACAAATTTTCTTACTTACTGACTTATCATTTTTGGCAAACAAACTTAAATTGCTTTCTGCCTTACGTCCACATATAACAACTTGAGCAAAAGCGAAGGAATACTTAGCATATAAAACGTAAGCAAATTGTCAAAAGAACCACTTGCCCTCAAGTGGAACAAAAGATACAAGTTACCAAATCAAAATACAAGTTCTTGAAGCAAAAGTAAAACATCGTTTAAAAACATACAAAGCAAAAGTTCAAACCGTCACAAACGACGGCCTTCAAGCGTCGGCCCCATCAGCAGCAAGCCATCGACGACCTCCTTGACGACTTCATTAGCCCGGACATTGTCATCGACAACTTTAACCCGCGGCTCCTCAGCACCGTCGACGAGTTGGTCGACAACGGTAGTAGGCTGATCTTCAACAACAAACGGCTGGTCGTCAGCAATCACAGGCTGATCCTCGACAGACTGGACATCAACTGTAGCGACTGACGAAGAAATAGTGACGGAAGGACCAGGACCTGAATCCGCAGTCAACGCCACCGCAGCGTCCTCTTCCAGCTCGTCAAGTGTCCCGCCGTTTGCAAGGAAACGGTCGATTACCTCTTGAGGACGCCATTCTGAAGCCTTTCCATCCAAAAACTGCTTCATCAGCTTTGCCCTCACTTTGATATCTAGTTCGGC